GGGGGGGGTAAAGGGAGGCGGGAGTGCAGCCGCTGCTTGTTTGCCATGGCAACAAGAAGAAGGCTCTGGAGTCAAGGGCTCACACTGCAGCAGAGGAGGTGTTTAGGTGAAATGTAAGGGGAAATGTTTTGACAGGCAGAGCGGCAAACGCAGGAGCCATTTCTCCTGAGAAGGTGGCAAAAACAGATCAGGGACTTCTCTGGAGGGAACAATTAGGGAAGGACCCTAAATCCTTGGGGGATTTTAAACACTGAGTTCTAAGCCCCTTCCAATCTAGGTTAGACATCAGGAAAAACTTCTCAACTGGCTAAGTGATGAAATGCTCAAATAAGTGGTTGAGGAGGACTAGACCTTCCTTCTGCAGGACAGTTATAGATGAGAGGGGCCCAGAGGTCACACTGTCTGTCTCCAAGGAGAGATAAGGAGCTGGATGAAATGACCCCAGAGTGAGTCCTGTTGCATAACCTAATCCCACTAGTCCTCAAAGTCCCAAGGTGCAGGGAAGGGACAATCTTTGCTACTTCTTTCTTTCATTCTGCTGAAAGCACATACCCCCTATAGGTGACCAAGGCAGTCAAAGCAGGTGACATAGATGCCAAAACTCGGCGGCGGATCTTCGACGCTGTCGGCTTCACCTTCCCCAATCGTCTCCTGACCAGCAAGGAGGCACCGGATGGCTGCCCTGACCATGTTCTCCGGGCCCTGGGTGTGGCCCTGCTTGCCTGCTTCTGCAGTGACCCTGAACTGGCCGCCCATCCTCAGGTCCTGAACAAGATTCCCATCCTTAGCACCTTCCTCACAGCCCGGGGGGACCCAGACGATGCTGCCCGTCGCTCCATGATTGATGACACCTACCAGTGCCTGACAGCTGTAGCAGGCACACCCCGAGGGCCCCGGCACCTTATTGCTGGTGGCACTGTGTCTGCCCTGTGCCAGGCATACCTGGGGCATGGCTATGGCTTTGACCAGGCCCTGGCACTCCTGGTGGGGCTGTTGGCTGCTGCCGAGACACAGTGCTGGAAGGAGGCGGAGCCCGACCTGCTGGCCGTGTTGCGGGGCCTCAGCGAGGATTTCCAGAAAGCTGAGGATGCCAGCAAGTTTGAGCTCTGCCAGCTGCTGCCCCTCTTTTTGCCCCCTACAACCGTGCCCCCTGAGTGCCTCCGGGATCTGCAGGCCGGGCTGGCACGCATTCTGGGAAGCAAGCTGAGCTCCTGGCAGCGCAACCCTGCACTGAAGCTGGCAGCCCGCCTGGCACACGCCTGCGGCTCCGACTGGATCCCGGCAGGCAGCTCCGGGAGCAAGTTCCTGGCCCTGCTGGTAAATCTGGCATGTGTGGAGGTACGGCTGGCACTGGAGGAGACAGGCACAGAGGTGAAGGAAGACGTAGTTACGGCTTGCTATGCCCTCATGGAATTGGGAATCCAGGAATGCACCCGCTGTGAGCAGTCACTGCTTAAGGAGCCGCAGAAGGTGCAGCTCGTGAGCGTCATGAAAGAGGCCATCGGGGCCGTCATCCACTACCTGCTACAGGTAAGGATGCAGTGACCCACAGAGGGAGCCCAGTGTGGGGGGAGCCAGTGCCAGAGCTGGAAGGCAACGGGAGGGGTACCATGAGGAGACAGCAAAGCTGCATGTACACACGCTGATACTGTAGCTAGCACTCCAGGGAGTAGTGTGAGGCCCAGCCTCCCTCCCTCTTCCTCCCTCCCTCCCCAAGCCTCCACACAGGCACCATACCACACACCATATGTGCACTCACATCACAGTACACACACACACACACACACACAAAACACAGTAACCTCCCACTCACACAACGCTCCCCCCGATACACACACACTACACACCACACACCTCTCATCAACACACACACAAAATCGATGCAGTCTGTTCTGCTCACCCTGTAGCATTGTTTTGCCTGCACACACACACAAACTTGTAATGGTGCAGAGAAGAGGAGCAGGGCTGCCTGGTTCTTGGATTCTGGAGAGGTCCAAATAAGTCTGTTTGACTGCCTTCCTATATCCCCTCCTCCCTCCCCGTCTGAGAGTCCAGCTATCCTGTCCTACTGGGATTCAGTCATAACTCTGGTCTCTTTAATGGCCTGCTCTAGCCACAGAGCTCACCAGTCATATATCCCACACACCATGCTAAACTCACATCTTTTTTTGTGATTTAGCCCCAAAGGGAGCATCCCCCTATTCCCACCATTGGCATTAGGGGCATTTACATGGTGGCCAGAAGCCTGCCCTTCCACCCCAGGTCAGGGCTGCTGTAAAGGATGTGTGACCTAGCTTTAGACCTATGAGTTTCCTTCTAGCCTTGAACTGCTTTAGAGGTAATGAGATGTGGGATGTGACTTGATCCTCAGTAAGTGCGGGGATATGTCTTCTGAAATCCAGTTCTTTCAGCAGACATGCACTAGAGGCCTGACCTGCTCTGTGCCAGGCCCTTGTTGGGTGTGTCCCTAGGTGCTGGGTACATGGGTAGAATAAGGCTTGGTGCCTGCCTTTGAAGGGTTCACAGGCCAGAATTTCCTTTAGTTGTGTTATTTCTAGTTGTGTATAGCTTGTTGGCTAGCAGGCTGGCCAGTCGGGG